CATGAGACAGGGTAGAGGTCATGAGAGAGGGCAGAGGTCATGAGACAGGGCAGAGATCATGAGACAGGGCAGAGGTCATGAGGCAGGGCAGAGGTCATGAGGAAGGGCAGAAGACAACAACTCTATCACCTGCAGATCTGAAGAACAGCTAGGAGGCCATCTGGGCTGGGGAGGTGCTGCTGACACAAGTTTGGAGAGGAGGCTGGTGTAATAGATTTGGGTGAAAGGAAGGGGAAAGGGGGATGAATAGGGAGACAGGGACACAGACAGAGTTGAGGTCTGAGAGGCAGACTTACAGACCTATGTGCAGTACTCATTCTGCCATGGGGAATATTTTTGCTGGAACCTTTAGAGTGGACTGATGACGTGTTCAGAAAGTTTAAGAAAGATGACTCTTGCCACAGTAGGGATAGAATTTGTCCTTGAACAGATGTGGCCTCGAGTTTGTAATTAATTCTGGGTTCCGTGGGCCATGCTTCAATGTCACAGGTAACACCAGAACATCTTCACTGGCACATGATGTTAGTTGTGAGTTTTGTCATGGTGAGTTTCTGAGATGATAATTGATTATCTACAAAAATGATCAAGACACAAAGATACTCTCCAAGGTGACTGTGGTCTGAAAATGAACTTTGCTCTGTCTTTACTCTGTTTCCATGGATTTTGATGGTTTAGGGTTTTAGATAAAGCCACTGGCACCATTTTCATCTGCTGTTGAGCATCTCAACATTGTCAGTATGCTTTAAGGTGGGGCCAGTTCATTTTATTCCTCTAGCAGAGGAGAAGGAAGGGATCGGCAGCATTCAAGAGGAGGCTAAGCAGAAGTATCTGGAGAATACCAGTGCAATCGGTGACTTGAGCTCTCGTGCCTGATGTTTCCCTCCCTCCGTTGTGTTTCAAATCAGGAAGAATGTAAAAGACTCTACTTTGAAAGTTTCGAGTTTTCTCTTGAACCCTGGGCATCTTCTCTATCCAGATGTTGCACAATCCACAGAATTTGTTACACAAGTGCACAAGAGAAAAAAACAAGGATCTCCCTGGAGGTGATGTCCCACAAGAAAAGGGAAGGGAACTCACAGAGATGTAAGAGCTGCTCCCAGATGTCAGCTGGCAGTGGTGGTAGAGCTGTCAGGACATAAGAACCTTCTCCTTCACAACAGCAGTAGGAGAGCGAGGGTCTGACCAGGGCTGGAGCTTCTGGAACAGAATGACCTCCCTGCCAAGAGACCCAGAACCAGTATCATCCGCCTTTCCATATAGGTCTTAGGTTTGCAATTTAGAACTGATAGCTACTTTAGCATAACACATCTGAGATGCAGTTTCTACCAGAAGCTAAGGGCACTGAACGGTGACAGGCCACTTCAGCTCCATAGCACTTGCCCCTGGGGAGGTCAGCATACCATCCAGGTGGTAACTTCAGCCCTGCCTCGCTAGAAGACAGCCTCCCCATTGACTTGGAGTGAGTTGTGGTGATGAGATGAATGCATGACTCCTTAGACTAGTTTTTGTTTCAGTGGCAGCTATTTCACTATTGTTTCTTTGTATTGTTATCATAATTATTAATTATATTGTTATTAGCCATATCTCTCTGAAATTTTGAGTTCACATACACTGTAATGATTTAATTACAAAATTGTTACCCATGTGTAACTCACTTTTCTGCTTCACCTATATCCTGGCCCCTCCTCCCCAGTCACCTCTTCTTGGTTCCCTTCCTCCCTCACAAACACCCCTCCCACATTATCCCACTCCCATGAAAGTATCTTTTCTGCCTTTTCTATTCCTCAAGCCCTCTTCCTTCTACACCAAGCCACTACCCACTTTTCTATCTACACACAAAAGTGAGCTTGCATCTAGATCCCACATGTGAGAGAGAACATGTAGTATTTGTCCATTGTAGTTAAGCTTATTTCTGTAAAAACCTCATTTCCTTCCAGACTTTGGTACTTAAGATAGCCACAGATGTCTGCTGGTATTGTAAAAATTCAGCCTTGTCCAGTAGTCAACCTCTGTTCTCGGCCCAAACATCCTGGTGATTGCCATTGCTCAGTCAACTGCACTATTACACAGATCCCCAAACCACTGCTTATTTAAACCACATTATGATATTATCACTATATAAAAATGATATGTGAATTCCATATTCTCTACTCATTAATGTCATAAACCTGACTCAGAAACACAGCCAACTGTAATGAGGTGGTTAGGAGGTAGTCTCCAAACTGTAGTGTTGTATGTTAAGGTTTCAGCTTGTATATTGGACATGTGAAGAAACCTAATGCTCAAAGAAAACTGTATATATATATATATCTGAGCTATATGAATTCCCCTTTTTGTTTCCAAGTTTGTATTAAGATCAATAATAGTCAATTTGTCATTTCGTTCACTGAGATCCACCATAGATATCGCAGTATTTCTTCCCAAACCACTAACTATCTCTCAGAAACTTATTTTAAACTAGTCAAGAGTTAGAGATGATATCATAGCTCTGCTTTTTTCTCAAAGTATAGTCCTTGGATTAGCTCATATTATGATGTTAGAAGGTGGGGAAGAGGAGGAAAAGAAAGGAGGAGAAGCACAGAAATGGAGGAGCAGACTGGAGATTGATCCAGAAGGCGGATCTCAGTCTTGTGTTATTGACTAAGTTAGCCACAGATAATCAGTCACGGGCATTATGAAGTTTGAGGCACAGGCCTTCAGATGAACAGCAGTGAGGAAGACAGGGAATTGTCAGACACTAAAGACAAACATAATTGACTTTACATTTGGTTAACAATGTTGACTTGGGCTTCAGTGTCAAAATGTGAAAAATGTACTATCATCCCGACCATGCATCAGTAGATATTGCTACCAAATACACAGGACCACTTGTTAGCACAGCATGCTCTGTATACATTACTTCATTTAATCCTCCGGATACCTTTGATTCTACATCTCTCTTGACAGGTAGGTAAGCCAAAGAAATGGCATGGAACTTGAACCTGGACCTCTGTGCCTCGGAGGTCTATGGTAGTAATCAGCATCATAGAATAGAAATTTGTGTAGGAGTGTGTACTGTCAAACTGATAGGGATTCCATGACAGGCTCTTATGGCTTCTGTTCATATTGGGTGAGCACTGAGGTCAAATCATTAAAGCTACTAATGGATGGAATGACCTCCGGGTGAGGTCAGTAGGAGTAGGGTTAGCCGTCTAAAGGAGCAGTAATGATCGGTGTCATAAAATACAGAACACACATTTCTAGAAAGCAAAAGGCAGCCCGGCTGCTTCTCCACTCATGCCATCATTGCATGTGCACTTGGTAACTGTCGCGGCATTGGCTGTTATCTTATTTTCACGGAAGTATTTCTTTGCATGTTTCTCCTCTTTTCATGGTTGACTACGGTGTGCTGTGTTTTCCTCTGAAAAGAATCATAGCTTGGAAGCTGTCTGATCTCTATTTATTATTATTATTATTATTATTTATTATTAATATTATTATTTTTATTTATTTTTAGAAACAAGTCACATTTTAATGTGAATCTGTTTAAATTAAATTGATCCTACTCACTTGAGTGATGTGAAGTGCCAGTGTTCCCATGGACTCTCTTACGCTTTTTGATATTTTATGTGCTCTTCAATCAGTTGGACAGGTAACAGGCGAAGCTCGTGAACCGGGCCACTGCCGCTCTAACACTGCACCTGGACTTAGTCCCACAGATGACGGGGTGACATACATGAGGAAACCAGACGTCAATCTGAGCAGAGGTAAGGGCCAGCCGTTACCTAGTGAAGAACCTTAGAAATCTTCCACAGATGTTGCCTGTCTTTGTCTTTCATCTTCAAGTCCTTGTTTTGTCCCCTTGCCATTTTAAAATTAATTAATAATTACTTTTATTCTCTTCTAGTGGATATGGAATGTGATGGTAGGAATTGGCCCAGGGTCCTGAATTTTGAAGAGGAGCTTTGAAGCTGACATAGCTATAAATGCTGTATTTTATTTAAAAGAAAAAAAACACATTGATGCCTAAGGGAAAAAACAGAAATAAAATCCCTGGTGTTAATTTTCAGATTAGTCATATGCTATAGCTGTACACTCCATTAACTGGCCAAGCAGGTGAATTTACCTTTGCTAAAAAGATTAAGGGCTCCAGTAGACTATGCTTTACAAGGGTTCATGTAAATGTCTCAGCCTTTTCAGAATTAGGGAAGAATTCACTGCTGTCAATGTGTAATGGGACTGACATCCCATCTTCAGGATTGTTAGCTAAGCATCAAGTCAACCAACATGACTCACACATCTGGCCAGCATCCTATGCCTGTGGTGAATGCTGTTTTAAAATCTCTCTGGTTTGAATGTTTGTGTGTGCGTGAACTCATTCTATCCACCATGTTATCCCATCTCTGGTGTTTAATTCGAGTCATCAAGCACAATGAGACAGCTTCACATATTCTGTAGAAGTTACACAAGAGACTTCCTCTTTGGGCGGCAGGAAAGGGTCAGGTGACATTTGCAGTGTGTAGAGTCACAGTAGAGCAATGCTGAACTATTGAAGTAAACATCCCTTTAGAGGAATTGTGGTGAACCCCCCCAAACACACAATATAGACAAGGATGTTCATGAGGAGGCTGCGCTCCAGGAGAAAAGCCTAGTTCATCAAAGGCTGTGGGAAGAAAGAGGGGCAGTCATGAGGCTCTTACAGCCAGATGCAGTACTGACCACTTGACACAAACAACATTATTGATTGCCACAAGAATTTTGCCAGTCAAATATGGATACTACCACTTTATAGATAAGAAAATGACAGCTTAAAGAGGTGCCATTTGCTAGGTTCATGTAACTAGTAAACATAAGCGCTACACATGCACTAGGCCTCTCTGACCCCCGCCCCAGGCATATGCTCCAGGCACAGATCCAGTGGACCGATGATGGATATTGTTTCTATAAAATGCTTCCTCAAAGCTCCTGAGACTACTCTTTTTACTCACTTCTATCTCTGAGGAAGGCTTCAATTACCCACTCTCTCGTGCTTTGGGAATGTTCTGTTTGACTTCTCTGTGCTGTGTGTGTTCATATAATAGCTCAGCTGGGTGTCATTAGCACATTTTCTCCCAGAATTCAGACAGTATATTATTACATGGTGACTAGGCAATTTTATTCCCCTGTTTTCATGAATGCTCTTTAATTAATCCATAAATTTAGAGGGCAGGTTTAAAAGCCAGATGACGGTATTTAAGTGTTTTCCATAACTGACTTTTCAATAACACTGTGTGCAGGAATTTGAACACTGACAGATAAACTAAGAAGAAACTTGACATCCTGGGATGTTTATCATTGTTCCAACATAGTTGTGTTCTAAATCAGTCATAGTCTGAAGTGAAATAAAAATGGACTACATCTTTTTCAGGTGACTTTGCTACATGCCATCTGGTCAGACAGTTTGGCTCTACATATCCCTTCCAGAGCTCTATGTACAGGTTTGGAAATTGCCAGTTGAATCCTGTATAAGTAGATGACTCATAAAAGCCAACCTTAGCCTCACTGACAGACCTGGATTACTAAAATTTTACACCTTTGTAAAAATATATTTTAAGGGAATGTCATGTCAGCTCTTTTTGCCTGCCATCCAAGTGGTTTGTGGTACTACCTGGAAAGAGACAGAGGCAGACAACAAAGGGTATGTTTGAAGAGGTGGTAGAGTGCCAACATTGTAGGCTGTGTGGAGGGACAGGGGAAAGATAAGACAAGGCTTAGGTTGTCACTGGCAGTACTTAGGTAAAATAGTTACCAAAAAGTGCAAGCAAGGTCAAGCTGAGAAGGAAGGTAAAGGACTTAGTATCAAACATGGTGACACAAGTAACATCCCTAGGATCCACACAGTGGAGGAAGAGAATTGACTACTGAAAGTTGTCCTCTGACCTCCATGTGTGCACTGTGGTATGCAAACAATTGCTTCCCACGCATACACTAAACACACACAAAAGAAAGTTGAGAATGCAAATGACCAAAGAAAGTAAGATATGTTTGCATAAGCTTATGTGATATGCTGGTAGAATAATTTATTATAATCCACAGAATCTACACATGTGTTCTTTTGTGTGTATATGTACAGAACATGTACATATGTATGTATATGTCTGTCTGTCTTGGGTAATTTTCTATTACTGTGACAAAGCACCATGACCAAGAGTTAGTCAGGGTTTATTAGAGTAACAGAATATTTAAAATGTATCTCTCTCTGAGTATAGAAAGAAGATTTGTTAGAAGTATCTTTAGACTGTGGTTCAGCTAATCCAATAATACTAGTTCAGCCCAACAATTTCATCCAGTCTTTATCATATGCTTGAATTTTGAAGAAGTAGGCTCCAATGCCAATAAAGAAATGGACCTTCTAAAGAGGACAAGAGAAAACAAGCAGAGAGAGAGAGCTTCCTTCTTTCATGTCCTTTATATAGACTGTCAGTAGAAGGTATGGCCAGATTTAAGGTGAATTTTTCCCATTGGGTTACAATCTGATTACAAGTGGGTCTCCCACTTTAAATGATTTAATTAAGAAAAAATTCCTCATGGGTGTGTACAGTTATTTGCATTTTTAATTAATTTTTGATGTAGTCAAGTTGACAACCAAGAGTAGACATCACACCAAGGCATTTTATCAAAGAAAATGGTTTAATTTCTGATTATGGTTTTAGAGGGCTAGAGCATGTGATGGCAGAACATAGGCCACCCAGTACTCACATCTTGATGTGGAAGGAAGAGGCACAGAGAGAACACTGGGAGTGGCTGGTCTTTTGAAACCTCAAAACTCACCCCTAGTGACACACCTCCTCCAAAAAAGCCACACTCTAATCCTTCTAAAATAGTTCCTTCAACTAGAGACCAAGTATTTAAATATGTGAGCCTATGGGGGGGAACATTTTCATTCATCCTCCCAAATTCCACTTCCTAGTCCTCATAGGCTTGTAGCCACATCATAATGCAATACTAACTTAGTCCTACTTCAATTGATCCCATAGGCTTTTACAGTCCCAACACGGCCTAAGTATCCAAAGTCCAAGTGTCTTGTGTTCCTCAAGTCAATGTCTTAATTTTAAACCCCTATAAAATAAAAAAAACTAAACCAATGTTTGCAATATACAATGGCAAAGAATATATATTACTATTGAAGAATGGAGGAAAGGAAGCATAGGGAGGAAATTCCAAACCAAAACGCCACACCTTCTAATCCTTCCCAAGAAGTTCCAACAAGTATTCAAACCACATGGCTAAGTATTCAAATATATGAACCTTGGGGATTTATTCTCATCCAAACCACAACAATGTCTACGTTGATGTCTGAGTGTACCTGCATGTGTGGATAAATGTTCATGTGTGTATGTAGGTCAGAGTATGTAGGTCAGTGCCCTTGGTTGTCATTTCTAAAGCACTGTTTGTCCTGTTTCATGTTGTTGTATTTTGTTTGTTTTGAGACAGGATCTCTTACTGAACCGGGAGCTCTTCAAGTAACATTGGGGGCAGGCCAGCAATCCCCAGGGGCCCACCTACCCCCTGATCCCTAGCACTAATTTACAGGTGTGGACTATAACACCTGGGCACAGCATGCCTTACTGACTGAGCTATCTTCCCAGTTCTAACTTTGGTTCGTAAATGAAAAAATGTTATAGTAATTTGTCTGGAGAGATGCCTCAGTGGGTAAAGACATTTCCTGTGCTAAGTCTTGTGACTGAATTCTATCCCTGTAACACACGTGAGGGTGGAAGAAGAGAACTGACTCCTCAGTCCTGCAACCTCGTTAGGTGCTGCTGTGGACACGTGCACACCAGACAGAACCACAATCATACATAAGATTTAATATTTAATAAATCATTAAAGTACTGGACACTGCTGAGATACAAGCTCAACCTCTCTGAGCCTCTAGTTGGGAACTTGCTGTCACTCACTTTCATATGTCATGCACACATCATTCAGAAGGATGCATGATCTGGTAAATACTGAGAGACCCAGAGACCTTTTCAAAGCCATAGCAGACCTGTAGATCTTGATTCTCCAGGAAGTCTTGCATCAGAACTTGTGAAATGTTCCAGCAGTGTCGTAGGAGGGTTGTTTATGCTAGACTCTGTCCCACACTACAAGGTCCAGTCTCTCTTTGTTGTCCTGTTTTGACAGATGTAATCGGTTTCTGAGCATAGATAGCATGTAACCTGACATAGAATACAAACTGGCATCTTTACTAAAATGCCATACCTCAACTCTAAAGATTTTTGATGATTGAATCTAACCAGAGATGCTTTAACATATTTGGGTGGCATGTGATGTAACTGCTACCTCTGGACCATGGCCCTCTGTCTTTCAATTATTAATACTTTAAATGGAAGTAGAGTATATTGTGTGTTTTACATGTGAACTAATTTATTGATAATACAATATAAGAGCATTGAGGAATGTTGTGTTTGCTTACTTCAACATGCCTAATGTTCATCTTTTATATTAATATGTCCATTAAATTTGAAAGCATTTCTTTTCCTAATGAGGGAAAGGCATTTTCCAATCATGGTCCATGTTAGTTATCAACATCTTATCAACCGAAGAAAAGTTTGATATATAATTTTAGTGTCTCCTTGATGATGTATAACATCTCATACATATCCTATAAAATTCTATATTTTAGTTTCTGCTTTGTATACTTTGATCTAAGTGACCTGTTTCTCCCCCCCCCCCCAACCCCTGTCTCTCTCTTGCTCAGTGGCACCTAATGGGAATGTAGGGATAGAGGAAAGATCGGCCATTGGCTCAAATGAGCAACCCAAGCAAGCTGCACAAGAGATGCTCACACTGAAGGAAGAAGGCATGGAGGAAGATGAATCTTTCCAGCCTGAGGATACTAATGCCTATGCAGGAGTGAGAGAGGAAACAGTGATGGAGGAAGATGGTACCTGCCATCCTCAGGATGCTGACATGGATGTGGAACTGAAAGAGAGAACAGGGATGCAGGAAGATGGTACCTGCCATCCCAAAGATGCTGACATAGATGGGGAATGGAAAGAGAAAGCAGGGATGGAGGAAGATGGTACCTGCCATACCCAGGATACTGACATGGATGTGGGATTGGGCGAAAGAGTAGGGATGCAGGAAGATGATGCTTGCCATTCCCAGGATGTTGATATGGATGCAGGATTGAGGGAGAAAGCAGGGATTTCAGAAGTCCCCTTAGGGGAGAGGAGCCCTACAGGAGATCTGCCAGCATCAGCAGAACAGTCTACAGTGAAAGGGGAGTGCCCTCTAAGCATAGCTAGTGAGGCAGAGGCAGGCACAGAAGAGAGTAGCAGGCATGAGTTGGAACAGTTGATCCCCACAGGAAAGGTAGCAGCAGAAGCCTCTGTGTTTCTAAGTGTAGAGCAGGCTGCAAACAGGCAGCGGGATGAGGACCCGGACAGGCAGGCCTTGCTGCATACAGTGATGGAGGAGGGAAGAGCAGTTTCCGAAGGGCGTCAGGAATTGGAGAAATCAACGTTCACAGACAGCACAGGGTTCAGCTCAGAGACTCTTGGAGATGCAACAGTTCTGAAAGAAGAAGGGACTTCTGAAGTAAAGGAGGCAGAAAGGGAGGTGGGCTTTCCAAAACCAGATGGAGATCAAGGTGGAGAGGGAACTCTTACAGAGCTGGAGGTCATGGGGCCTGTGGAAGACACAGGGCCAGAGAGAAAGGAAGGTTCTGAAGAGGCAGTACTCGGGGAAGAGAGAGCAGCCACGGAGAGGAAGGAATTTCTGGAAGCAGAAGCTCCCTTCAGCTCCTCAACAGGAGAAGCTCAAGCAAGCCCCAGGGAGGCTTTCCCGGGCAACCATGAGGAACTCCGTAAGGAAGACACAGCAAGGAAGGGAGTCATAGCTGACACAGAATCAACCATGGAACAGGATCTGCGAGCAACGTTCCCTGGGGAATTAGCTGTAGCCGGAGGCACAGAGAAAGTTGACGCGCCCACACCACCTCTTAGGGAAACTGGATCTGAAAGAGAAGAGGAGACAGGGGCCAAGGTGCTGAAGACAGAAAACTTGTTAGGAGAGCAAAAGGTTAAAGGGGAAGAGGAGGGCACAGTGAGTGAAGTCAGTTTTGAGGAAGAGGCTCGTGTACTCCCCCATGAGACGGAGGCTGATGCAAAGGATGCAGAACCCACAGGGGCAACTGAGTTGGGGGAGGTTACAAAGCTTTTAGAAGACCCACCCAAAGAAAGAACCGCGACCTTATTTGAAGCAACACCTCAGTTTGAAAAATCACCGAAAGAGAGTGAAGTCACAGCCACGGAACACAATGGAGAAGAGCTGCTAGGCCAGGAGAGAGAGGCTCTGAGGCATAAGGGGAGGGGGCTCGGCCACGGAGATGGGCTGTTAGGAGCTCCTGGACCTGAGCCAGAAGACAAAGTGCAGCGACCAGAGGGCTTTTTCACGGCCAGAGGTGAAGAGTGGGCTACCAAGGAGCTGCACAGCCGTGCGGGGCCGGAGAGACTGGAGGAACATGAGCATTTGCAAGTACAAGGAGGAGGAGGAGACATTATGAGAGGAAATCTTCCCGAGGAAAGGCTCACCTCGGCAGTGGTGGTCTGTAGTGAAGCTGAGGGTGAGAAGCCGCAGGGGGGAGGGAGCAAAGATAAAACGTGCCCTCCAGGGACAGTGACTGACAGCCTGACAGGGCAGAACTGGACCATGAGAGGATGCACAGTCGAGGCCGAGGAGGATCCGCATGGAAGAGGAATCGAAGAAACAGCTGCAGAGCAGAGGGAGGAGTCGGCAGAGTCAAAGTCAGCTGATGGGATCCTCACGGCCTCCTCCTCTATGGATACTCAGAAGGAAACCTGGGACAGAGCGGGTGAGGATCTAGGAGAAACAGCAGCCGAAGCTGAGGACATGAAGCCAAAAACGGAGACGGTAGCAGTGGTGGAGGAAGTGACATCAGGAGGGGCTATGGTAGAGATGGAACAGGAACAGGATCCTGATGTGCAGGACTCAAGGCCTGGGGAGGACAGAGAGGGAGGGGAAGGAAAGGCTTCTCAGCAGGCATGTACGGGTACAGCTGGGGAGGAGACAGGGGCTACAAGGAAGGACGAGGAAGACCAGTCAGGAGCAGCCGAAGAGTTCAGAGGCTCAGTGTCTCAGACAGAGACAGCTTAGCAGAGTGTGCCTAGAGGCAGCACCTCCAAGGAAACTGGAACTAGAACTCAGGAGAAGCATCTGGAAAGACTGCAAGGAGAATGTGAGAGAGGAGATGTTCCCTTGAACACAGCTGAGGTCCTATGGCAGCTGGTGAGCTGAAGTCTGGTGTGTTTCCAGGACACCTAGAAAGCTTGCATGACTCTCCTGTCTATAACACAGGTTTCACTGGTGTCTGCTATGTTCTTATGTGTTCTTCAGTTCTGTACTGCTTAGCCCCAAGCTGGCCTGAAAGGTCTGGTGGACACAGGGAAGCACTAAAGCATGCAGAGGAGGCTGGTCAGCTCTCTGTGTGGTCCTTTATTCATATCTCATCTTTGGAGATGGCGTTTCCTGAAGTGAGGTCTTTATGTCTCACAGGGTTCAATAGAGAGAGAAGTTGGACATTGAGGAGCTTGGGGAGGAGAAAGAATATGACCAAAATATATTGTATGAGGATTTTAAAAAGCATACAGAGAAGAATGTGCCCTCAGCTACAGAGCCCAGAAGTAAAGGGTTAAAGGTCACTTTAGAACTTTCCACATTAGCTTTCTTTCATACACACATATAAAATACGTGTACACCATCGATTCTTCCCAAATTGCCGCCACCACCACTTTGGTCTTTGAAGGATGGAATAAAGCTCATCTGTGGCTACTTAACCTTGAAATGCTTCTACACTTTTACCTCTGATGTTTTACAAAGTTTAATGAACTTATGTTTCCCATACATAGATGGCAAACACTATACATATTTAATATATGTTTAAAATACCTAAGTTTTGAATGATGTTAGTAAACACCAACATATATTTATTTTACAGAGTCTGTTGTTCTTCAAGGTACCATCACGTCGCTAGTGCACACTTTTATTATTTTGAATGATTTTGTCATCAGTGCTGTCTTCCCCCCTCCACCCAGGATATTGTGAAACTGTCATGGTTAAAGACTAGAGTGGGAACCGACATAGACAGGTTCTGTTCAGAGTTTCTTTTAGCTCACTGCTGGCCTGAGATGGTCTCAATTGTAGACACTGGTCAGTAGGTTAGTAACCATGGAGAAGTAGCTACAGTAGATTTCCCCCCAAGGAAGCTGTGGCCCCAAACAGAGAACTAGGGGAAGGAGTATTGGACATTCTACACAGCTAGTGTGTCTATATTTAAATCAAAGTGATGATTTTTTTCAAACATTTGACTTTTTACCAAAGATTACCAGAAGCCAAGCCCCGATGGTTTGATTTTAAGTCCCTTTTTATTTAACAGTTAAACATTAGTCCTAATTTTATGCACAGGGATTGTATCTTAGCCACCTTGGAAATTCGATGTCTCTTGGAAAGGTTAACTCTTCCTATTTACATCTGGGGGAGTGGGGAAGGGAAAGTGGAAACCTTCCTGAAAAGGAGCTTGGTGTGTATTTGTGTCCTGTTTCCTCTGGTAGAGTAGAAACGTGTGGCTCTCAGCATTTTGTCCTTGGGAGTGTTATCTATCAGGCTGCTCAAATGTAAATGAGAAATGTTTATAACCTAGATAAGTGTGAGATGTGTGATGACCATAGAAGGAAGACGTGGTCCATCACACGCACCCTGGGAAGATTCGGTCTAGCCTGCGTTCTCTGTACCTGATGTCCTCCTGAAGATTAGCAACCCCTGCGCCCTCCAGGGTTCTGTTATTTCAAACCTGAGTGACCCCATAGCCCACAGTAAGCCAGCAGTCACAATGGCTCTCCAGATGGCACCCAGATATTATTTCCTAGTTGGATATCAGCCTGTTCTGAAGGGCTGGGTTTCCTTGAAGATAGTTCATGCTCCAAAGCTCACACTGTTGACCCCTTTCTAAAATCAAGGAGATGAAAAATTTCCAAGACAGCAATTTCCCAGCCAGGAGGAGAATCAACCTTTTATGGGGCACTTTTATAGGTGAACTCATGCCCCACAAAAGCTTCAGATATATCTGGTTTTAAATGAACCTATGCATCAATATTTTAATTTTTCTTGATTCTATTATGTAGCCAAGGTTGAGGAATCACGCAGTCTACCGTCTGCCCCGAGTTTCTATTGTCAAGGTGTTCTTTTGTTATAGATGCTTTTAATTTTGACAAACAATGGAGCTTTGTGATAATCAGTGACAGACAGAGCTGTACCAGAGTGGACATATTGGCACAGAGAGTGGACAAATCATTTCATTAGGAATGCCAGCACGTTAAGCTTACCACCTGGTTCTTCTCATAGAAACCATATAAAGTTCGGGGGAGGGGGGCAGGGGGCAAGGTAGAAACTGTTGTTATAGGGAACCTTGGAGGTGATTTTAAAGTGTCCACAGCCTGAACAATGATTGGGTAGATCATTGGTTACAACTGAGAAATCATCATGGGTGTAAAACGGATTTCAGGAGCATTGTCAAGTTCATCTCTGTCTCCGTGCCTTTCCTAACCCACATGTCCTTCTGTGTGGTTGTCTGAAGGAGATGATAGTCACCATAAAAATGGTGAAATCACCCTTCAGCTCATTTCAGTATGGTTGTGTGCAGTGTATTTGGACTTGCCTCTCCCCACTGAATAACAAGCCCACAAAATCCAACCACAGCCTCCCTGCCCTGTGTTCTGTTCTGTGGCTGGATCTCATCCGCTCCACATCTGGTTCCACGTGTTACTGGTCTGCATTGCTGTGACCTCTACAGGACGTCCCCTGGCGTTGCCCCTCTGCCACAGAGCACTTTAAATACAGTCCTGATGAGAAAGATTGCAAACTCCTTAATCACTTTGAAAGATGAGTTCTGTGCGATGTGTTAAATGGAAATTGCATTGGATTATTTTTATATTTAACACCTTCCATCAGCCCAGCCTGTAGTGTAATTCTACAATCTGCATGTGGGTTTAACTGTGAAATTCAGTGTTGTGATGTTTTGATTGAGTAAATTTTATCTCTGCAAATATTACACCAATAAAATTATGCTTAGCAAAACTGATTTTTTCCCATAGTTTCTTCATTATTAAAAAAAAACAATATATCTTCAGACTAGACAGGAGAGTTTCCTTGGGAAAGAAGAGTAGACTTTTAAGATGTTTTGTGTTATTTTCTTGCAGAATTTGAATGACAAGAGCAGATAAAGGAGGGAGTCTTACTGGGCTATACTTTTAAGTATGTGTGTTTGCAGACTGCCTGCATTCATCTTCATCTTCTGTATTTCTGGGATAATGCCAGAGAGGACAGTTATTCTTACAATTTATCGACAAGCATAAATGGAAGGTCAGTGTAGTTAAGTGCCTGTCTGAAGTTACAGTCAACCTCAGGTCACATAACTTCTACCTTAGACTAGCTTTGGAAACACCCGTCATTATGTCTAGGAAGATTCTAGACTGAGACGCTAAGTGTTGGTTTCCACATGTTTCTGTTGAAGGAGGAAACGTCTTACTAATACATCTCCTAACCTTGTGTGTGTGTGTATGTGTGAGGGTGGGGGGGAGTGTTTTCATCAAGTTCTTACCGAAGAACAAGGAGTTTCACACAAATCAGGAGATGACAGACTGCCAAGGAAACTTAGAAAGAATTGGGCTTTTCGATTGAGTTTTGAAGAAAGCCTTTATAAACTTCACTGAGGTAAATTTACAGCGTAGGTGAATTCTCTACTCTCCTTATGATCAATAATTTGCCACCGTTCGTGCCCTTGGAAAATGATTGTTTGAACAAAGAAGAGAAAAAATTCTCAAAGGAGTGTATTTAGTGGGTGAAATATTTGAACAGGCTCAAGGACGCTCCTTAGATGCTGCTGCGACCTCGGTAACGTTTCCTCCAGTCCTTCTCTATACTTGGTTTTGTCATGAAAAAGAAATTCTCTGTCTCCACGGTTTACAGAAGAGGCGCAAGAGAATGGGGATGAATCAAGCTGGAACTCTTTAAGAATCACTTCCAAACTAACCCTTCAGAAACGACTCTACTTAACCCTTCCCTGGTGATACACCCAATGACGGGAAAAATATGTCCACCACAATAATCAGGACTCATCTTAAGAGATGAAAGTGTGGGTAGTTGATAATCACGTGGTTTTTTTTGTGTATGTGTGTGTGTTTTTATAATTTCTTCCAGACTGCTCAGACTCTTTAGCCATCTGTGTGACCCTTACAGTTTTTTGGAATGTGGCAGTATACCCATTTTTAAAATGAAAAGGAGGTACAGGGAAAATTCTAAGAGACAACCTGCTGTCAGGCTATGTGCTTCGCAGATGTCTCTTGGTCTTTATTTAGTGCATACTTACAATTAAAGGTGTAGTAAGGACTCATACATGACGGGAGAAACCTTCTAGGTTATCAGAGGTCTACGTACCATGGTAACAAAAGGCCTTCAAGCTGTTGTGGAAACATGCCTGCGGAGCAATGCATCTTTTCATTGTTTATTGCTAAGGCTGGACCTCCAGGGGCACGTTGTCTTAGAGTGACCTCATGGCCAGCCTGTGGTCATGGTCATCCATGTTCTTTATGCTCTACACTTCCTTGACCACAGAGGCTGAGTCTCCACCCACTTTATATTTTACTGTAGCTTGCTGGTCATCGAATGACCCAGTTTAGACAAAGAGTTGAAGTGTGATGTACATTGAAGGGGTTAGCTTTAATGAATGGTTAACAGAACCTTCTGGAATACTTACAGCACTTTGCTTCCCACAAAACTAATTGGGGACCAGGCTGAACCTTCAGCTGATATTGTATTAAAAAATATTTTTTCATGGTTTATTTTCTGGTGAATTTAGCTAAATTAGCCATGGGGAGTGTCTATGAAGTGTATTGCTGTACAATGTTATACAAGCTCCATAAAATCCTTCTACTTATTATGTGATATACATAAATGTTGTGTTTTTACATCTATAAAAATAAAACACCAAGTGGGTAAAACTGATGCTGAACACTCTTATTCTAGCAGTAAATAATATTTGTTCACAGTCACAAAAACTAATTAGAAATAGAAGTCACTCATTCTCAGAGATATAACATAAG